TTGGGTCTTGCGAAGAAAAGGGGCTGGACATATTGGACTGAGCCTTTATATATATATACTAGACTAGTATTAGTACATATATATATAGTATTAGTATATAGTATGTGTGTTTGCTTTATCAGTTGACTTATCGTTGGAATCCGGATGCGTGATGTCCACGTTCCGGTCTTCTTCTCGCCAGCCCGGTACTGCAGTGGCATCCGGTCTGCCGGTGTTCGGGGGACGGACGAGACATGGCGATGCACAGAGGACCCTATATCATGTTACCTCACCCATACACTCCATGGGACTGGCATTGCCGCTCCAGAAAGACCCGCCCCCCCGCCAAACCACCACAATTCATCGGCAGTCCCATGGAGTGTCTGGGTAATGTTACCTCATGCAAGACTCACAACCCTGAAAACATCCGAAAACCGAGTTTGTAAGAAGTGCAAAACCCAACAAAAGTCGGACGGCCAGGGTGCCAAAACCACAGGCTCCAAGTTACATGTTGGGGAGTGCACAAAGCAACTACTACTAAGTACCAATGATTTTCAGTTGTATCCCTGGGGATCCATGTACCTTCTCCGAAGGTGATTGGAGACACTCTCATGTAGGTTTGGAGGGTCCAGTCGTACCCTCTGAGAAGGTACTTGGATCCCCAGGGTCCGGGTATGAGTGTTGTATGACGGTATAGGTGAATCTGGAGTGTTTGGGAGCGGCTTTTGGGTTGGTTCCTGCACGTGACTGGTATTCACCGTCGCCATGGGTGTCGCAGCAATTCTCAGCCTGATGTGGTTGAATGCATGTATTCACCTGAAGGGTGGGATTCCTCAATGACCACTCAAAAAGCACCTTAACGGTTGGCCGATTGCCCCAGTGCAGACACCTCGATCCCGTACTGTTCCAGACACCTCTTCCAGCCAGGTGGAGCAATTGGATCAATTTCTCGAAACGGATTTACATGGTGGAGAGCTTTCCGCCCGTCTCAGGCCGATTTCATTCACCTTTTGATTGGATTGGTAAGAACGTACGGACACATTTCAGGAAAACAGTTGAGCCATTTGATCAACCATGTTCATTCTCTTACTCAGTGTGTTGTCATATCATATCGAAGTTCTTCTTCGGTTTTCATGCTCCGCCCAGTTGAAAACAGGGTACACCATGGGACAGCTGGACCGCCGGCTCGCGGCGAGCCGAGCCGCGAGCCTCGGAACGACGGAGACCTCGGTGAGCCGGTGCGGCGAAATGCGGATCGCCACCGGGGGGGCCTAGTAGTAGGCGGACTGCACCGGGCCGGGTGGATTGCAGGTGAGCCACTCTACAGTGAGGATAGATACTAGTAGCGTCCAAAACTGGAGGTTATAAAGGAATGCCAGCAGTTTTTGTTTGAGAGATGACGTTTGCCAATATATATATATATAATATAGTGTTGATATATTTTGATGGATTTGGATGATTTGGTTTAGTAGTTTAATAGTTTGTGGTTTTGTTCTGAGCTGATGCGGGTGTTGACTGAGAAGACATGTGGATGTGTTTTGAAAGGGATGCAACTCGTGGAACAATTGCATCCGTACCATTTTGATGCATTGGAGAACTCAATTTACCCTCCCTGAAACAATCATGGAAGTGGAATACTGCCTGTTCATAGAGGAATTCAGTCTTCCTTTCGGGGCCTTGTTCCACTTCCATGTTTCTTGGATGGAGGGCCAAGGGGCCTTTTTCCATCAAAGACTCGTTGTCTTGACACGTCAGTGCAATCTGCTGGTGCGGTCCGGTGAAGTATTTGGGAAGACCCCTCTAACACATTGGACATGGACAGCCCCCTCTGAAGACCGCCCTGTTCCTCTACTTAGAACCCACGAAAAAGAAGCTTCTCCAATCCTTACGTGATTGGGATCTACCACGAGACGTTGGGTGCAAATGCAGGATGCTTTCCAGCCGTATACGCATTCTTGGGCCTGGCGATCGTCTTCTTCGTCGTGTCCAAAGTCTTTTCCTATGGCATGCACCGGCGGCGGGATCTCCATGCGAAGAAGAAGGACCAACGGCCGCCAGGCCTCTGGCGGCGTAGCCGACGACCGGTTCTTTTCTTTTTTGTGTGTGTGTGTTTTGGCCCAAACAGTGTGGTAACATGTGGCAACACTATATAGGGGTTCTTACGTATGGACTCCCCTGAGGAGTGATGATTCACTCCATTTGATATCATCCATCTTTTGAAAAGTGGTGTGACCAAAAGCACTCCGGAGTGGACAAAATCAGTCCAACCGTAATTGCGTTCAGATTGCGATCGCTTTGCGTTCAATTAACGTTCCCTTTGCGTTCAAGATACGTTGCGGAGCAACAAAACAATATGGGGGCAATCGTTGACACTGTCAATGGCATTGATTCCGAAGTTTGTTGCCATGTACGGGGCCACTCTGGGCTTGACTTTGGGCAGCAGCAGCCGCAAGGATCATCCCAGAGTCATCTCGCATGACCGGCCAAATCAAATTTCAACAACCTTGCATGCTGGGGCACCTCTAGACCTCCTCTACCACCGCCGCCTTCACCACCATGTTCCCCACCATCATCACCACCGCACCGCCACCTTCACCACCATGTTCGCCACATGTTCACCATCATCACCACCACCATCACCACCACCATCACCACCACTATCACCACCATCACGACCATCATCACAACCATCACCACCACCAACATCACCGCCACCATCATCACCACCACCATCAACACCATCACCATCACGACCATCACCATCACGACCATCACCACCATCATCATCACAACCATCACCATCACCACTAACCATCATCACCACTAACACCACCGTCACCACCATCCCCAACAACATCACCACCATCATCACCACCATCATCACCACCGAATCTGCGTTCTCCACTATAGAGGCTAATTCAAATTGAACTATAGTAGTTGAACTCAAGCAACATACTTATATACGTTTTGGGATTGAACTCGGGCATAATACTACGTGGTACACGTACTTGAACTCAAGGAGCATAACATGCCCTAGGGCTCCAAACACCACAGTTGGAATTGTACGTATGTATATTAGGGATGGTGGTTGTCCAAGGTGTGACTTCTAAGAATGTCAAACAGAACTCCTTCGCTTGGCAGGAGACGCAGCTGTCGAGTGACCTGGAACAGCTCAGGACGAAGATGCATTCCCGTGCATGCAAGACCCATGTGTCTCGCCTGCAGTGGAGGACCTTCCACTTTTTTGGTTTTGGCAGGTGGGGGCGGGAAAGGGGCCACCCAAAAACTGAAAAGGTTGAAACAAATGACAACATTGATTTTCAATGGTTTCTCGGATTCTCATCGAACAACTGGGCAAAGATTCAGCTTTCTTCCTTCACAGACCAGGAGAATCTAACCTTTTCGCGCTTTTCGGGCACCTGCTGGGGAAGTAAAGTCGAATTCGATCCGGTGCAATCGCTAGCACTGGTGCTCAGCAAGAGCTAAGGAGCCAGGGGAGCCAAGGAGCTACAGTGAGTTACCCAACCCCTTGCTAGCTGGAGGGTGGGATTGTGGTTGATTCCACTTGATTCTGCTTGGGCTTGGCCCATCTCCAATCAGAGCTTGGGAAAAGCCGAAGACTGGGTGTTTCCAAACAGCACCGTCGCTCCCAAAAAGTACGTGGCACGTGGCTCTCTTTTCAGCGGTGGAGTCAGGTGGACCTGACCTCAAAGCTGGTTGGCTGTTCCAAGCAAGAGTACGTGGCGGTGAAATGGGCGCTGCTCAAGGGCAAGATGAACTTCATGAGTTTCTTCCGAAACTTGGATTAGTATAGGTTGATAGTAGGTGAAGAGGTCGGGTGAGGTTGAGTGGTGGTTCAGAACTGCTGTCAGGCTGTGGGGATGATGTAATTCTTCTTTTTTGGTCCGGTGTGGAGCAATCGAGGCATGACACGGTGTTCATGCCCCGGTTCTTTTCCCAAAACATGACTAGAATATGGTCGACCGTCGCCAGGGTGGTCGCCAGTCTGCCGGTACCATGACCCACAGCTAAATTGAATAATGTTGGATGCTGATGAGTAAATGGAACATGTTGGATCCAAGTAATGGAATAATGTTGGATTGTCACGGTTAGATATGTTGGATTTTCATATTATGCGAAATGTTTCCAACATTATTCCAGCCACCCCTATTGAAAAATGGGGTCTGAATAATGCTAACCTTTTTTGGGGGACCCTAATTTTTTGTTTTGGACATTTTTGGACCTTGATAAGGGTTTGAATTCCTTATGAACCCTGTCCACTTGCACTCCCCCCTCCCTTCCCAGGCAAGCAGCCAGCAGCAAAGCAAAACACAAACAAACAGACCACCAACAAGATGTTGATTAACTACAACCCTAGTCCTTGGCTGAGGAAAGCCTGCTTCTTGGCCTGAGCTGCAAAAACATTTAGGGTTAAATATATTTTCTTTAGGAAAATAGACATATTAGTTCTTAATACTACTAAGCCAATGGTTAGCTTTCTGAGAGTATTGATTTGTATAGGTTTCCATAGTTCTTCTTCAAAACTGACAGCTTCCCACAACCATCAATTCCCTAATCAATCCTTTATGTAAAGATTGCTCCTAAACAAATTTTCAAGGTAGTAGACCAGGAAGGCCCGTGTTCCTCAATAATGAATTTGTTTTAAGGGTCCTCAATTGTGCAAAGTTTTTTCCTGAAGAACAATAAAAATAGTAATTCTTAATGCTACTAAGCCAATGGTTGGCTTGCTGAGGGATGTCTCGCAGAAAAACTGAGGAAGCTTGAGCTGAGAGCTGCGTCCAACTCACAGCTGCACATGCTGCTACTACTACTACTACTGCTACTACTACTGCTGCTACTACTACTACAACTACAACTACTATTTCTTCTACTACAACTACTACAACTACTACTGCTACTCCTACTACTACTACTACTACTACTGCTACTACAACAACTACTAAAACTACTACAACTACGACTGAATACAATCTATGAAAGGAAAATGAAGACAACATTGAACTGCAAAAGGAAGTCTACCAGGAATCTAGAATTGTTTTGGTACTAGTTTATTGTAGAGACCCCTCCAATCGTTTAGCTAGGGGGGGGCTATTTACTAATCAGGACCCAACATCAACTGGAAAGTTCGATTTTCGATGGACCGAGTTTCGGCATCGTCGAAGATCACGGTCCGAAAACCACGAAGGGTTTGGACAGTCCATGGAATATGGAGCTGTCCATTCGCGGGAATGGTCCGGACCGAGCCATTCTGAGCCATATCCTGCAGATGTCCAAATCTAACGTTTAAGACATAATTATCCTCCCAACATACCCCAGGAACATGTGTAAATGAGCAACATCTAGCACATGTTAGCGATATTTAGCGACTATGTTTCCTGGAAACCTTAGCTATAGTTGCCCAAATTGTGAGGATTCTCATGAATTATAACTTCTACTGTTCGAGTCATTTTCAAATCGGCATTTCCAAGCGAAACAGCCTCCTCCCCACCCTGGAACCTGTTGAAGTGAACGTCTCCCACTGCATCTGCCGTGAGGCGCAGAAGAGGATTTCTGCACTCCGCTGGGACAAGCCCTGGCCCCGCCGGACGCCTCCTCCGCGCTGCGGCAGTTTTACCACAGCAAGATGGAGGTCTTAGTCTACATGTTCACCTCCGGCCCCTCGCTGAAGTAGGGACTGCTGTGCAGATTCGATTGATTCATGGATGATTCACAGATGCACACACCACATACCCCAAACACAGAAGTTCATGCTTTTTTATAGAAGTTCACGCGTGTTTTTAATGTGGCGCTCAACTTGAGAATCAGGCAGCACACAAAAATGGTTCTTCACTAGTGGCTGATCTTGATATCCTGGTGGGTGAAGGTCACTTGCACAAGCCTGTTGAGTTCGGTCACTTGCACGGGGGACTCCGAGGTCACTTCGTCACGAACGGGAAGCTGGATGTGCGGGTAGGTGGTCTCCACCGGTCTCCACCGGTCGCCCTGCCGACGTCGTTGAGGCTTCGCCAAGACCTTGATCAGCGCCTGGACCTACACCTGCGTGGCGGGCGCCGTGGGCGCCTTCCTGGCGGAGGTGCGCACCTTCGCTGCCAAGAACTCCCGGGTCGATCCTTGGGTTCAAGCACAGGCCGGGGCGGGGATCGGGGCTGGAGCCAACGGACCGGCAGTGGGTGGGTGGGAGGAGTGGTAGAAGTTGGGACAACTTCAAAGCGTTAACAAAACATGGATTAACTGATGTTTTAATGGAAGCTTTTGGGGGGTGGTGTCAAGTGACCCCTGTCAAACAGAGCCAATGGCTGTAGCAAGCAGCGCTTATCAAGGTTGATGCTTTTGACCAGGGATTGCAAGAAGTTCAAGCACCAGGCAACTTCGATGTTGAAAAATCGATTAAACATTGACAATCATATATAGATTTTCACATGAACTTATACTTGTTTACTCGTGTTTTAAAGACAAGAAGAACCAGGTTCAGTCAGGTTTCAGTCAACAAGTTCTGATGTCCAATCTTCAAGACATTGGATTTCCTGTTTGGGAGGGCTGAGGATTCGTCCTTTTAGTCATGGTTCTGCGGATTCATCGTGCACAAAGAAACCGGTTGACCGGTTTGACCGGGGCAGAACCGGAGGTGTAGAAAAAGAGAACAATGTCCCATGCTCTCCTGGGTCCTTGAAGTTGGGTCCAGCTAGAACTGGGACAGGGAACTGGGGCAGGGAACTGGGGGCAGCAAACTGGGGACAGAAGCAACTGATGATTGGGAAGATGGCCTAAGACCTTGGTTTTGTTTGCTCGAGCACAGCCTTGTGGCAATGCTTTCTAGCATCGCTGTCGCAGGGAAATTCAGGGGGATGACAGCGCCACCGAAAGAAGAGCAAAGCGCCATCCGTTTTGCCATGTTTTGCATATAGGGTGATGTTTATTGTCCCTAATGTTTTCCTTGGATTAATAGTACCCCAGAATAGTGATGTTTTTTTCCTGCACAGATTAATAAAGGCCCCCAGAATAATGTCTATTTTTTTGGGGAGGGGTAGTTGTAGTGGGATGTGTTTTATTGTTATAGTTTACTTTTTCCCTTTTGAGTTTGCTGGGATTTGCTTATCTTACAGGCTTTTGGATGGAGATTTCTATTAAACATTTGGAGGTTCCATTGAGATTTGATGCTGTTGGAGGCTTTTGGATGGAGATTTCTATTAAACAGTTGAAGATTTCCATTGAGATTTGATGCTTTTGGAGGCTTTTGGATGGAGATTTCCCTTGACATTTAGAGATTTCCAGATACATTTACAAAAAAAATCAAAAACAGTATTGAACAAAACAAAAAGTCATTCCAGCAAAGGGGGTAGTCCAGCAAGCAAGTTTCTGTCATTAT